TTCCTGTACATCTTACTGGAAAGCACCTTTTTCTTGACTTGGGGGGGAGGGGCGGGGGAAGTGGCGACATTAATTTTGGAAACTTTTTTTGGTAGTGCTGGGCTCGAATCCAGGCCCTCATGCAAACTAGCCGTGAGCACCAGCACGGAGCCACACTGCCAGGCCCTGGAGCTCCTTCTCACGCTGATCCTCTTGGGGACCCCATAAGATCTCTGTGAGGTGCGGGTGCTGGAGTCACCCTCCTGGCCCACTAGGGCATTAGTGGCAGAAGCAGGATTTGAACCTGGGTCCATCTGGCTCAGTGTGGAGGGGATATTTCTGCCACCTGTGTGTTGGACCGAGGCCTCCTGGCTGAGTGACCTTTCTGCCTGGCCAGGGCCTGGGGTCGCCCGCCAGCCCGGAGCCCCCTTGTTCTCCCTGGTGTAGCTGACGGATGTTTACGAGGCTTTGGCCGACACCAGACACCCCTTACTGAGCCCCGTGGGCCAGGTCCCACAGTGGTGACTGGTTGTATTGGGACAGGCCCAAACCTCCACAGACCTGGGTTTGCTCCCCTGGCTTGAGGACAGGGCAGGGACCAGGACGGGACAGCTCCTGTCTGCCTCTCGTCAGAAGCGAACAAATCATGCAGTGACACGGTTGTTACAGTCCTTCTGTGGTATGTCCAGCTGTGGTAGGTGTTGGCAGGAGGGGAGGGTGTGTGTGCCAGGAACATGGTGGGCCTGTGGCACTGGAGGGCTTCCGGGAGGCCGTGTCTGTCTGAGCACAGAAGCTTAAAGGAGAAGGGCACTAGGAGCCTGTGGGCTGGTTGCAGTAGCTCCGTGAGGCTGTGAGGCCTTGGCTTAGCCGGCCATCAGGGCTCTCTGCTTGCTGATCCATTCCTAGCTCTGGGGTCAATCCTGGCTCTGGATGGGGCGCTGAGGGGGATGACCAGTGCTAAAGAAGAAAAAAAGTTTTTTGGTTTTTTTTTTTTTAGCTTTTTGGGTCACACCCAGTAATGCTCAGAGGTTACTTCTGGCTCTGTGCTCAGGAATTACTCCTGGCGGTGCTCGGGGGACCATATGGAATGCTGGGAATCGAACCTGGCTCAGCTGCGTGCAAGGCAAATGCCCTCCCCGCTGTACTATCACTCTGCCCCCCCCCCCCCCCAAAAAAAAGCATTTTCCTGCCTCGCATGTTTGATGGTTCTGTAAACTGATGAGAAACCGCCAAGCTGGGGCGGCATCTGCGGGGAGGAGCTTGGCTTTGTCCTGGGGGTCCGGACGGGACAGGACCCCCCGCTAGGTGAGAGGCAGCTTGCCCTGAGTCAGGGGCCCACTTTGGGAGCCCCAGGACGTTGGAGGTTCTAGGCAGAGTATCTGGAAGCCGGGCAAGTGGGGGAGAGAGCAGAGTGCCGGCTCCAGCCAGGGCGGGCAGGGCTTGAGAAGGGAAACGCAGAGAGCAGGCCAGGCCAGGCCAGGCCAAGGCGGTCAGCTCCTGCTGCCGCCACAACTGTGCTGAGCAGCCAGGCAAGATGCGCAGTGGGAGGTGAGGGTCGGGTGAGGAGAGGACAGCGGGAGGTGACGAGGTGAGAAAGTGGAGGGCAGGAGGTGAGGGTCGGGTGAGGAGTGGGAGGTGAGGGTTGGGGTGGAACTTGGGCAGATAAAGCCGGCCAGTGCCACATGCTGAGGTGGATCTGAGGTCCCAGAGAAATCAGGTGGCAGGTTTGGGGGCCAGATGCGGCCACCGCTTCGGACATGCTGAGAACCCAGGGCAGGGCCGGAGCCATAGTCCAGCGGACAGGGCCCTTGCCTTGCACACAGCGGACCTGGCTTGGGTTTTCCTGCCCCACATGCCGTGCCCTGCCCCACTCCAGGAGTGACTTCTGAGAGCACAGAGCCAGGAGTAAAAGCCTGGAGCACCCCGAGAGTGGTCGCAAAACCAAACCAAAAGCCCCGCCCCAAATCCCTGGCCAGCCAGTCTCGGCTTGAAGAGTTGAAGGAAGTGCATGAACCCCACCACGTGGCCAGTGGGGGGCAGGGGCCCAGTGAGCTGCGTGTTAGGTGCAGAAGCAGAGGTGCCGTGGGGCTGGAGCGATGGCACAGCGGGGAGGGCGTTTGCCTTGCGAATGGCTGTCCCGAGCTCGACCCCCGGCATCCCATATGGTCCCCTGAGCCCATCGGGAGTGATCCCTGAGTGCAGAGCCAGGAGTAAGTCCTGAGCAACCCCGGATGTGGCCCAAAAGGTATCACCCCCGAAAAATAAAAAAGCAGAGGGGCCTGGGCGGGGGGCTTCATGGCAACGCATTGCGCGAGACAGGTTGGCAGTTCGCCCCTTCCATGCAGTGCCCGAGGCCTTCCATGGGGACACTGCAGGCCTGAGTGGACAGGGAGGGGCCAGGGCAGGGCACATCGCCCTCCCACTCTCCCCAGACCTGTGCCTGAGGGGACGCATTAGGGCTGTCCTGTCTGTCTGCCCAGGGGGGGCCCCCCCGCTGGGTCCTGGGTGGCCACCACTGAGCCCGCCTCTTCCTGGCAGGGAGCATCGAGTACAGCTGCCCGGCGTCCAATGAGTGTGAGATCACCAAGCGGAGACGCAAGGCCTGCCAGGCCTGCCGCTTCACCAAGTGCCTGCGGGTGGGCATGCTCAAGGAGGGTGAGCGCGGGGCCGGGGGGCCATGCTCAAGGAGGGTGGGGGGGCGGGGGGCCATGTTCAAGGAGGGTGAGTGCGGGGTTGCAGGGTCATAGTGGGGTGTGGGGGACTGCAGGTAGGCATGCCCAGGAGTGGGCATGAACGGGGGTGGGTGGTGCGAGACCTCCCCCAGCCCCAGGGTCACACTCCTGTCTGCTGTTCAAGGGGTGCGTCTGGATCGTGTGCGGGGTGGCCGGCAGAAGTACAAGCGACGGCCCGAGGTGGACCCGCTGCCCTTCCCGGGGCCCTTCCCCACTGGACCCCTGGCGGTAGCCGGAGGCCCTCGGAAGACAGGTGAGGGCAGGGCGGGCTGGGGGGGAGGTGAGGGTCTCGTCCACTGCCTCCACTCCGTGTGCTCGGGCACCAGCACCCACGTTCCCATCCTCTGTTGCCCCCCAGCAGTGGTTATAAAACTAGCTGGGCAGCAGGAGGTTTGGGACCCCTGGAGCCTCCCCCCCCACCTCCCTGGGCTCTCCCTGGGCTGAGGCGGGGCCAGGCCTTTGAACGGAGACCGGGAGGTGCATCGGGGCTGACCACCCCCCCCCCCCCCCCCGCCGTCCCGCAGCCCCCGTGAACGCGCTGGTGTCACATCTACTGGTCGTCGAGCCCGAGAAACTGTACGCCATGCCTGACCCCGCGGGCCCCGACGGCCACCTCCCGGCCGTGGCCACCCTCTGTGATCTTTTTGACCGAGAGATTGTGGTCACCATCAGCTGGGCCAAGAGCATCCCAGGTAAAGGATGGGCGGTGGGGAGCCCCCACCAGGAGGGGCCGGGCTGCCCCTTCTCAACCCGCCCGCCCTTGTCATCCCCCCCCCCACCCCAGGCTTCTCGTCGCTGTCCCTATCAGACCAGATGTCTGTGCTGCAGAGCGTGTGGATGGAGGTCCTGGTGCTGGGCGTGGCCCAGCGCTCCCTGCCCCTGCAGGACGAGCTGGCCTTCGCGGAGGACCTGGTCCTGGATGAAGAGGGGGCACGCGCGGCAGGCCTGGGGGAGCTGGGGGCGGCGCTGCTGCAGCTGGTGCGGCGGCTGCAGGCGCTGCGGCTGGAGCGGGAGGAGTACGTGCTGCTGAAGGCCCTGGCCCTGGCCAACTCAGGTGAGGGGGCGCCCGAGGGGGTGGGCCGTAGCAGCCGGCGAGGACTGCAGAGGGCCTGGCGGGGTAGGGTGGGGGGGTCGGGAGTGGGCATGCTGCCTTGACAGGGTCGGTGGGTGGTGGGCGGCAGATCCCAAGGCGGTACATGGGCCACTGGAATCCCAGGGCCCGGAGAGGAGCAGGGCTGGGCCCGGGACAGGGGGAAGTGTCACCGACCGGCCAGCGCTCCTGCCACCCGGCCCAGCTCCCGGCTCTCCCTCTCCCCGCAGACTCCGTGCACATCGAGGACGCCGAGGCGGTGGAGCAGCTGCGGGAGGCGCTGCACGAGGCCCTGCTGGAGTACGAGGCTGGCCGGGCCGGCCCGGGCGGGGGCGCGGAACGGCGGCGGGCGGGCAGGCTGCTGCTCACCCTACCGCTCCTCCGCCAGACGGCGGGCAAAGTGCTGGCCCATTTCTACGGGGTGAAGCTGGAGGGCAAGGTGCCCATGCACAAGCTCTTCTTGGAGATGCTTGAGGCCATGATGGACTGAGGCAAGGGGTGGGCGTGGGTGGGGGTGCTGGCAGGACCCGCCCGGCAGGGAATCGGCCCCACGGTGAGGGGGGGCGGCGCCGCAGCCTGCTGGCAAGGCCAGGGCCGGACCATCAGCCCCTGGGAGCGGGCCTTCCGCCCTCCTCTCCCCGCCGCTGAGGGGGGCACGGGAAGGGAGCTGGGAAGGCGTGCCCGGGCTCTGGGCAGTGCTGCCCCTTGCAAGCCATAACGTGCCCCGCGAGTGGACGGGGCCTTGCGGAAGCCATAGGGGGCTTAGGGGACGTGTGAGGGGGCAGAAGCCTGATCTCAGGGAGGGAAGGAACGGAGGTCACAGTCTCCCAGCGGGTGATGCTTTTGCTGCTGCTTAATCCGACCCCCTCTCCAGAGCAGAGGGCAAAGAGAGCAAAGGCCCGCCCCCTCCGCCTCTCTCCCTCATCTGCATTGGGCATTACTGCCCCCCCCTTGAAGCAATAACTCCAAGCAGGCTCCAGCCCCTGAACCCCTGGGGTGGCCAGGGCCCCCCATCAGCTCCCACCCGACCTCGTCAGGGGTTAGGGAGAGCCCTGCCTCTATGCCCTGCAGAGCAATAACACTATATTTATTTTTGGGTTTGGCCAGGGAGGCGCAGGGACAAGGGGCAAGCCGGGGCCCAGTGCCCAGGCTGTACAGAGACTCTATTTTAATGTATATTTGCTGCAAAGAGAAACCGCTTTTGGTTTTGAACCTTTAATGAGAAAAAAATATATATAATATCGAGCTCAAACGTGTGGCTGGCTGAGTCACTGGGCCAACTGGGGGCGGGGGTCACGGACACAGGATTTCACAAATATACAAGGTCACACTGGGAACAGATGGTGGGTTGGCGAGTTTAAGTGTCGGTCTCCTCATCGTTCAGCAGCATGTTGGGGATCCCCCGGCTGATGGGGAACAGACGTCCTGATTCCGGGCACTGCAGGGTCCCCTCCATGACCTCCACCTGCGGGGCGGGAGAGCGCAGAGGGAAAGGCATTTGCCTTGGACATGACCGACGCGGGTCGACCCCGCGGCACCGCCAGAGGCGATCCCTGCACTGGCGTGGCGTCCCCCATCCCCCAAGTTCCCGCAAGACAAGCTGGCACGGGACTGAGCACTGATGCGCGGGGGGCGGGGCGTCTCACCTCCAGCAGCACGTGGTGCATCTTCCGCAGAAACTCCTCATCCTGTTCATACCCCTCGACAGGCCCGCTGGGCACCTCGGCCAAACTCAGCTAAAAGCAAGAGGCGCGTCACCGCCAGGGTCCTGGCCCCGGGGTGGGCCGACCCTCCCGGGGTGCTCGCGGGGGGACGGGGGCGCTCACGCTGTCCGCCGCCTGCTGAAGCGCCGTCCACTCCACCTTGGGAATCATGCGCGCCACGAACTCCGGGTTGAACTCCACGTGGTGGATGCGCACCTGTTCGGCCTGCGGGACAGAGGTGTGGGGAGGCGCCGGCCCGGGTCGTCCGCACCCGCCCGGGGCCCCCGCGAGACGGCGCCCGCCGGTACCTGGAGGCGCAGAGGGAAGCCTCGGGGCCCCACCCCCCGCACATGCGAGCTCAGCAAGTTGTGGGTGAGCAGCTTCATTTCCCTCCGACGCGCTCGCTCCGACTGGCCGGAACCGGAAGTGGGCGGTACCCTAGCGCCACTTCCGGGCCGCTCCCTTCCACCCGATTGGACGGCTGGGAAGGGCGGAAGCGGCGACTTGCCTGGCGCTCTCGTGCTCGCGGCCCGAGGAATTTGAGACCGGATCAATCCGGCGGGACGCCCGGAAGAACCTCGGGCGCCGAGTGCGAAGCGCAGGCCCAGTTGCCTCCCCTCGCTGCAAATCACGTGGACGGCTGCCCCACCGCGACCTTCGCGGAAGCCAAACTAAACGTGTAACCGACACGGCCGATGCACGCCGCGCCGAGCGCCAGGCGGAGTCGGCGAAACGGAGGCGCCCCCCCCACACTGTGTATGCAAATAAGCCCCGAGAAGCCCGCCTCGCCCCGGCATGCCAATCAACACGGAGGCCCGGAAGCCCCGCCCCCGCGCTCTCGGCCCGCGCCTGCGCCGTGGGGTGGGCCCGCGGCTCCGCCTCTGCAGGGTCGCGGCGTCGCGCCCCGCCCCTCGCGCGTTGCTCCGCCCCGGGGGCGGGGCCTGGCGGTGGTAGGCTCGGCGGGCATGGGGCTGCGGGTACTGTGCGTCGCGACCCGCCGCTCGCTGCCGTCGCTGCTGCTACGGGCGGCCGCCGTGGGCTCTGCGTCGGCGGGGACAGCAGGGAGCTGCCAGCGGGCACCCGGCGGGGTTCGCGGTTTCCGAAGCGCCGTCGCCGCCATGGCCCCCATCAAGGTGACCGGGGCGCCCCGGGGCCTCCCGCCACCCCCCGTCCCCTCTCTGCTGGGGGTGGTGACTCCCGCCCGCCCCCGCGGACCCCTCGCGGCTCCTCCCGCCGCCTGTCCCCCGCCGGTCTGGGAACTGGACCCTGCAGCCGCCCCTCTCCCGCCCCCGATTTCTCGCCGGTTCTAGGGACTAGCTCCGAGGCGCACCCCCGCCCCCCGCCTTCCTCGCGGCCCTCCTGGCCATATGCACCCGCTTCCCAGGGTCCCCCCCTTCTCCAGGAGATCGAACTCCGTGCCTGCCTGCCCCCTCGCCTCGCTCCCCTCAGCGCCCTGTCTCCCGCAGCTTCTGTCCTCTAACCTGGCGTCCCTTGCACCTGGCCCGGTGCAAGTGGCGGCTCAGGGTGCACACCTGCCCTGTTCCCTCCTTCCCAGGGCCAGCGCCCACCCTCGGGTCCCGCACCCCTCCTCCAGCTCTTTGGCTGCCCCACCTCTCTCTGGCTCTCCTGTGACACCCCCCCCATCTCACCTCCTACCTGCCGGTGTCAGACCCCCCCTCCCATAGAAAGCATTGTCACCCCCAGGTAGACTGTTGCCCCAGCCCCCCCCCAGATTTCTTTCTCTCTAGCTCATGCATGGGGGGACCTACCTGTGCATCTGTCTGCCCCCTTGGGCTGCGTCCTGCCCCCCATCCCCCAAACCGTCATGGCCCTTCCCTAACTCCGCTGCACCCCCACCCCCAACTCCTACTCCCTTTCCTGAACTTAGCCTGCTGGTTCAACCCCTTGCGACACTCCACACCCACACCGACAGACACTCCACACCGCCCTGTTTTGTTGGCTAAGAGGATTAATGCCCCTAGCAACCTGGGGTGTCAGCCACTCGCTCACTCGGAGCCTCTGCAGGTGGGCGACACCGTCCCCTCGGTGGTCGTGTTTGAAAAGGAGCCTGGGAACAAGGTGAACCTGGCGGAGCTGTTCAAGGACAAGAAAGGGGTGCTGTTCGGGGTCCCCGGAGCTTTCACCCCCGGCTGCTCCAAGGTGAGGGCTGTGCTCAAGTGTTTGTCCTCGTCTGGGCTGCAGAGCCTGTCAGGGTGGGGCGGTGCCCGTCTCTGCACAAGACCCTGGGTCGGTTCCCATGGCAGCCAGAGTACAGCACAGCGTGGGTGGGGGGTGACGTGGGTGGGGGGTGACGCAGGCGCGGGGAGGGAAGGGAGCAGGGCCTGGACGCCGGGGTTTGGGCTTTGCTGACCCCTGGTTGCCCTCCCAGACCCACCTGCCCGGCTATGTGGCGGACGCTGAGAAGCTGAAGGCCAAGGGCGTGCAGCTGGTGGCCTGTCTGAGCGTCAACGACGTCTTCGTGACCGAGGAGTGGGGACGAGCCCACAAAGCGGAGGGCAAGGTGAGGGGTGGCCCTGCTGGAGGTGGGTTGGGGGCAGGGGGCGCAGGGACCACGGTGACCCGCCTTCCTCCTCAGGTTCGGCTCCTGGCTGACCCCACTGGCGCCTTTGGGAAGGTAAGTTCCCCCCCTCACCCTCCTAGGGAGCCGCTTTCTGCCAGGCCCCAAGGGACAGGGTGACAGTGGGGTGCCTGACACCCCCCCTCACCTCCCCTAGGAGACGGGCCTGCTGCTGGATGACACCTTAGTGCCCCTCTTTGGGAATCAGCGACTCAAGAGGTGAGATTCGGGGGGGGGGGTTCCCCAGGGGGCTCCCTGCGGGGGTCCCCTGCCGCCTCCCTGAACTCAGCCCCTCCCCCCGCAGGTTCTCCATGCTGATAGAGAACGGCGTCGTGAAGACCTTGAACGTGGAGCCCGACGGCACGGGCCTCACCTGCTCCCTGGCCCCCAACATCCTCTCCCAGCTCTGAGCCCGGCCCGACTGTCCCCTCCCTCCTCTGCTGCTGTTTCCCTACGGGAACCCGGGCCAGATTTCAGCAATAAACACTTGCTCCCAGCGTGTCTCTGTTCATCGCTTCTTCCCCTCGTCAGTGGCCCAGAGCCCCGAGCTTAGGAGGGCAGGGCTGGGCTGGATCGGGGCTCCTGCTTGAATTACAGAGGTGGTGCGGGCAGGCCTCTTGTGAAGAAGCGTCGGTACGGGTCCCCGGAAGGGCCAGTGGTATGAAGAACAAGGGAGGGACGGGGCAGCGGGCAGAGGGGCCTTCAGGAAGGACCTGGCCTGGTGCATTTTGTCTTATCTAGACCTCATGCCCCACGGTTAGGTTGGAGATGAGGCTGGAATAATACCACAGTAGGGAGGGCGTTTGCCTTGCACGCGGCCGACCGGGGTTTGATTCCCAGCATCCCATAGGGTCCCCCGAGCACTGCCAGGGGTGACTTCTGAGTGTATGAGCCAGGAGAAACCCCTGTGCATTGCCACGTGTGACCCAAAAAGCAAAGAAAAAAAAAGGGTTGGCTTGGAGGTTTTCCACAGGCTCAACCAGCACAGACCCCCTCCCCTGTCCTCACACAGGAGATTCTGTCCTCGCTGCACCCTTGCTCCTGACTGACCCTTCTTTTATTTATTTATTTTTTATGTAGGAGTATTGCTATTTATTCAGCCATTTATTAGGCTGACTGAATTGGGCACGAACCCTACCTTATTTTTTTTTCCTTTTTATAAATGTATTTATTGAATCACTGTGAGATCAGTTACAAAGCTTTCAGGTTTAAGTCTCGGTCACACAATGAAACACCCGTCCCTTCACCAGTGCCCATTCTCCACCACCAAAAAACCCAGTATACTCCCCATCCCACATCCTCCCCCTACCTGTGGGGCAGATGATTTCCACATTACTCTCTCTACTTTGATTACTTTCAATATTTTGACCCCAGACCCACCATTATTATTTGGGATTTTACCCCAACAGTCAGATCTGCTGAAAAGGCAACAGTGGACAATTTGTTTTCTATTGCTGGTTATGAATAACATATGATGGACTAACCCTTCTTGAGACCACCCAGTTCAGTCCAGGAGGGCTCCCTGGAAGAGGAGTTTAGATGAAGCCTGCCCAGGGAGGCACAGCATGGGGGAGACAGGGCTGGGATCAGCCCACAGGATTGGGGGGCTGAGTGGAGGCTGGGTGGCAGCTCCCCCTAGCCCTGCTGTGCTTAGCAGCGTCCCCTCTTAAGGCAGAGGGTGTGCGTGGGGGGCTACACTAGTCGTGCTCAGGGATCACTTCTTGTGAGGCTCAGGGGGCCAGAGGCAGTGCTGGGGGATCAAACTGAGGTCGAGTGCCGCCCCCCACACGGTCTCTAGCCTTCGGTGTTGGTCCTTGAACCTGTGACCGCAGAAGGTCACTGCTCTGCCCAAGGCAGCCCTGGGCCAGGTCGCCAGGTCACCTGGCAGGCAGCCTGCATTGACGCCTGGACAGTGTGTGCTGACCCGGTGGAAAGTCACACAGACCCCCTTGTGCTGGGGCCCCCTAGGCCAGGGGAGACAGGAGCGGTGCCACACCAGGGCTTAGCAGGGGGAGAAAGGGACCCCAGCCAAGACCCCGAGGGGTGCAGTTTGTGGGAAGGCCCTGAAGTTGTCAAGGCCAGTAAGAGTCTTCTCTAGCCACTGGGGGAGGTTGGCGAAGGCCCCATCCGAGGCACCACCTGACCACCCGGCCCCTTACACCCAACCACCCAGCCACCCAGCCCCGTACACCACAACCATCTGACCACCCAGTCCCTTACCCCGCAATCACCTGACCACCTGGCCCCTTATACCCAACCACTTGGCCACCCAGCCCCTTACACCCCAAGCCATGTGGCCTCTGGACTTGCCCTCCTGCACCCACAGATCTCCACTCTCTGCCCTCCCCGTGGACACCACTGGGTCCCTGTCTGTCGCTCGGCTCTTCAAGGCGGAAGCCGAGCTGGATTCCTGGGGGCTTGGAAGGCCATCCCACCTGGCTGCCTGGGGCCATCTCACCTTCACCTTCCAGTGTCCACTGGAAAAAGGGCCTCAGGGGCCTGTCCTTGAACTACTCTTGATTTTGGTGGCGTCTGCCCAAGGCAAGCCCTGTGTCCTCCACAACCTCTCCCTTGAGAGGGTAAGCTGCTAAGCACAGCAGGGCTAGGGGGAGCTGCCACCCAGCCCCCACTCAGCCCCCCAATCCTGTGGGCTGATCCCAGCCCTGTCTCCCCCATGCTGTGCCTCCCTGGGCAGGCTTCACCTAGACCCCTCTTCCAGGGAGCCCTCCTGGACTGAACTGGATGGTCTCAAGAGGGGTCAGTCAGGAGCGAGGGTGCGGCTGGGAGAGAATCACCTGTCTGACCCCTGCCCCCCCCAAAAAAAAAGAATTCTAGGGGAGCCCCTACCCGAAAAGCACTGGAGCAGAGAATGGGACCCCTGGACTGCAAGCCCCGACCTGCCTCCCAGAAGCTGGGGACCTGGGCAGGGTTCAGGGCTCCTCGCCTCCCCCTTCCCTCATCCTTAAAGTGGGGATGATTCCACCCCCCTCGTCGGGTTGTGGCAAGCGATCGAGTCACCGTAGCCAAGCATCGGGCACTGGGCCCAGCACACAGGAAGTGCCTGAGATGGTTACAAAGAGCCCCTGTCCCGCACACGGTCTGCATGGGGGCAGGGAAGAAGCCGGGAGCTAGGCCAGAGGCCCCTGATGCCAAGTGGGCCTGTTTCCTCCAGGGGGATGGAGGGGGGGTGCATTGTTGCCTCTGTGTGTGACCCCCCAGGAGTCTCCACTTGTCCGCTGGCACCCGAACCTCAAGAGTCCTAAGGTCAAAGGAGAGCTTCGGGGAGGGAGCTTGGGGGAGCCCCCACAGTAGGTCTCTGGCCCAGATCAGCCTTGGCCTGCAGTGCTGGGATCGGGGCTCAAGGGAAGGCGGCGTGTTGGGCCTGGTGGTATTTTATCAGTCTTCGAGGAGTGACAGCAGAGAGAAGTCTGTGTGCGTGCATGTGCATGTGTGTATGTGCATGTGTGCATGTGCATGTGTATGCATATATGTGCATTGTGTTGTGTGTGCATGTGCACGCCTGTGCATGTGTGTGCATATGCGTGCACGTGTGTGCATATATGTGCATGTGTGTGCGTGCATGTGTGTACACATGTGTGCATGTGTACGCGTGCATGTGTGTGCATACGTGTGCATGTGTGTATGTGCATGTGCGTGCACGTGCGTGTATGTACATACATGTGCGTGTGTGCATATATGTGCGTGTGTGGATGCATGTGCATGTGTGTGCATGCATGTACGTTGTGTGTGCATGTGCACGCCTGTGCATGTGCATGTGTATGCATACGTGTGCATGTGTGCGCGTGCATGTGCGTGTGTGCATATATGTGCATGTGTGTGTGCATATTGTAGCTTCTGGAACTGTTTGGGGAACATCTGTGTCAATTTAAAGATTCTTGGTAACTGACATGACTCTCTGCTGTTCCGCTTCTTTTTTGGCTTTTTGGGCCACATCCGGTGATGCTCAGGGGTTACTCCTGGCTCTGCTCTTAGGAATTACTCCTGGTGGTGCGTGGGGGACCATATGGGATGCCAGGGATCGAACCTGGGCCGACCACATGCAAGCAAATGCCCTGCCTGCTGTGCTGTACTATCACTTCAGCCCCTGGGTGTGCTTTTTCTGTTTCAGCAACTCTCCAAGCTGGAGCCTGGAATCATCTCTTCAGTTAACGCAGGGAAATGCCCCGGCCAGGATAGCGAAGACAGGAAATGTTTGATATGTGTGTCAGGAAGGAATAAAGAAAGAGAGGACGGGGGAGAGGGTTATCATTGCCCCACCTTCTGGGGAAGTAGTTTCAGCAGAAACTGAACAGAAAGACCGTGAATTTGAGGCTAATCTGCTGCAGAACTAGCACCAGTGGCTTTAGACAGAGACCGAGCTCTGCCCGGGACGGGATTCTGGGGCTGCTTCGGCCCTTCTCTGATTATTTGAGCTTCGCCGTCATAAACCTGTGGCTTCGACCTCACAGTCCAGTGTGGTTGCTTGAGTGCTGATCCTCACGGCCATGGTCCTGTCAGCAAGAAGGAAGGAAATGAGGGGTCAGAGCAAGCAGAGGGCACTTGCCTTGCAGGCAACCGACCTGAGTTTGATTCCTGGTATCCTATACATGGTCCTCTGAGCACTGTCAGGAGTAATTCCTGAGTACAGAGCCAGGAGTAACCCTTGAGCATTGCCTGGTGTGGTCCAAACAAAAGCCAACCAACCAACCAACCAAACAAACAAAAAGAGGAAGTAAAAGGTGTTTAACAGACCCACTAGGGGTCTCCTGTGAGAACTTTCTGGGGCCTCGTGGAAAAACCCATGCCTCTCCTATGGGGACCCTTTGCTGAATTGCAAGCATCTTGGATCTGGTCCCCAGAGACACCACAAGCAGCTACCAAGCCTCTCCAGGAACATGTTTTGGTGAAGACCTACATGCGTGCATGTGTGAGCTCAGAGTCCCAGCCCTGGCACTTCCCCACCATGCCAGGTGCAGTCCCAGCAGCACTAGCACAAAACATAGTTCTTGGCACCACAGACAACAGCAGAAACAAAAAAACCAGCAGCTGGAGCAATAGTACAGCAGGCAAGACACTTGCTTTGCACGTGGCCGACCCAGGTTCAATCCCCAGGTAGTTCCCCAAGGCCTGCCAGCAGCGATCCCTGAGTGCAGAGCCAGGAGTCAGCCCTGGGCATAGCGGGTGTGGCCCAAAAATAAAACAAAAAACTAAAGCTAGGATATGGAAATAACCCAAATGTAAGGTTGACCCAGATTCCATCCCAGGAACCCCATGTGGTCCCCTGAGTACCGCCCAGTGACCCCTAAGTGCAGAGCTAGCAGTAAGCCCTGAGCACCATCAGCGTGGTCCAACACAAAACAATAAAGGATGAAATCTTTCCGTTTGCTGCGACGCGGGTGGAAGCAGAGAGTATGATGCTGAGTAAAGAAAACCAGCAGGACAAATGCCAGATGATGCCAGTCACCTGTGGCACAGAGAGAGGAAACAGGCCGGTCA